TTCTACAAATATGGTAATTTTCAAATTTTACATTTGTTTCGCAAAGATAATCTTTTTATGTTTTGAATGTAAGATTATAAATTATTTACTCATTTTATCCATATTGATCAAAATAATTACAATATATAATAATTTATTTTCAAAGATTATAGATAAAGTAGGTAAAACTTTTTTGATATCATAAATTTATCACTAAATTATGTGAAAATTAAAAAAAAAGTTACAGTTTTATGAAAATAATGTTTATATGGTATAAAGTAAAAAAAAAAAACTAAGTTAGCTATACTCCAAAATTACTTAAAATAAAGAAATAGAAATTATAAAACTAATGAAAATTAAATTAAATACATAAACCGCGTGTAGCGCGGTGAAAATATCTTGTCAACTATTAATACTTGTACTTACCCTTCTTATATTTATTCTAGAATATTAATTAGTTTTGCTTATTGACCACAGCTGCCTTTATAAGTTTGAAGTCATGCATGGCGTGCTTATATAAGTCCTATGTACGTAATCACATCCCATGCACGGCTATCTCTTATTATCATGTGCGATTAGAGCATTTTTTTGAATACGAGAAGGTGTGGACCTTCAACCTAAATAATCCCCTAAACCCGGGATTAGTCAGCGCTAATACCATTTCAACGTAAAACATTCTTCCAAATGCGAGTCAAATCCGAGTGGCGGTAAGAGGCAGACTCAGAAAATAACTTAATATGGGGCATAATATATTATATATTTATAAACTTTTATCACAATATATATATATATATATAAACATATGAAAAAACTTGAGTCAGCTAATCAATAAGATAAACAGATATTTGTTTCCTTAAATACTTTTAATTTGCTATTTTACTATAAATATTAAAAATAAATTTCATCAAAATAATTGTTGAACTGAAACTTAAATGAACTACTTTATATTTTTAAAAAGGTAATGACTAACATTAAAGTACAGGAAGAATAACAAATATTTTCTATTAGATAGCAAAAAACAAAGAATAAATGAAAATTTCTTTTATAAGAATGTCACTAAATAAAAAAAAATGTATAAGAATTGAAGAGAAACAATCACGTGGGTTCGAACATGAGTGGCAAGGGTCATTCTAAGAGTTGATAACGGTTTGGGACACTTTTTTATCTTTTTTTGACACATTGAAACACAAGTTGCCTTTGGCACACTTTATTGTTATTCTCAGCTCAATTCGGACAGTATTGCCCTTTGCTTCCTTAACTGAGACAAATGTTGAGTTAGTGATTTTAATATATTTATATTGTTCCGTTGATAACGACAGTACATACTTGTGCTTTCCTTGTGCTTTCTGTTTCTTCAGAGGAGTAATAAATTTTTGTTTGTGAGGAATTAGGAGATTTAACAGCCGTCGGATGGAAGCAAATCTAAGGGTTAGGGTGAGCTGAGGTTTAGAAAGTAGGTATGATAATAAATGCTTCATTACTCTCCTTCTTCTCTGTTTTTTCGAAAGCAGTTTTGTATCTGGAAGTATCCCTTCCTATATTTGTAAGCATTTTATCAGTCTATTTTGATTTTAGTGTCTCACGGACTGACATTCTCAACTTTGTTTAGGGATTCAACGATGGAGGAACATTGCATGGTATTAAGCGGTGATTGGGTTTTTGGAGAAGGAGGGACGTGGGATTTTGTCATCGAGAAAAATCAGATGGGTCGTATGGTTCATATGTACGACGGTATTGGGTGCAAGGAGCTGGAGGGGAATGTTCTACGAGAGTTTAAACTTGATGAGGAGCGTTACCGTGTATCTTTAAGCTATTGGCCACCAACAAGTTTTGAAATTGCTACGGGGATAAGAACTCCCCCGGTTTTGATAACTAACAGTGGGGCTGTGAAGTATTTCTATCAACATCAAAAAGTGAAAGGCGGGATGAATTTGTTTGCGAAGTTTGAACTGAAGACAGAGAACATGGACAACGTAGTTGTGGACAACTCCGGGATGGGATTTGTGTCACCAGAAGCGGCGAGATTTCGGTGCCAGAAGGACTTGGGTTGTGGTTCCTCAAAGAAGGGGTTTGTGTCATCAGCTGGTTCAAAGACCAGAGTAGTCGACATTGACGAGGACGAAGATTTTGTGCGGGGAGTAGAGAGTGTAGAGGAGAGAATCATGAGTGAAAGTGTGAAAGGGGATAGTAGCAAAGTCGAGGATGATAGTGGTTGTAGTCTAGGAACAGATGAAGAAGTGAACTTTGAGATGGACGAGATTTCGCTGAGGCCAAGAGGTTATGATAAGGAGTTTTGGAAACCCTTACTAGTTGGTGATTTTGGAGGTTCTGATGGTGTGAATGTTGTTTACAATGAGGATGAGATTGTTGAGGGTATGACCAAGAAGAGAGGCGCACGGAGGTTATTTCTGTGACACACAAAGTTGTTTTGACCACTATGTTGAGGTCGGTGGAGGAGAAGAGAAAGCCAAATTTGAGAAAACGGAGGATTCTAATCCTTGGATGGGAGGTGGTAGTGAGCAAGCAGGAGATTTAAACAGGAGTGTGCCAAAAAGAAGACTTGAGGATATCGATGATGAGGAGTTTGATATACCACCGTTGTTTGATGATACAGAATTTGATGCAGCTGAAATCCCTGATATGGATGTGGATGAGTGTGACGGTAGGATATAACTAGGGAAGGTGTTTGGAAGCAAAGAGGATTGTCAGATTGCTTTAGCTATATATGCGATAAAGCAGCAGTTCAAATTCAAACAGACACGGACGAAAATAGATTCTTTTGTTGTTGAGTGTCCGGACAGCAGATGCGATTGGCGAGTAACTGCACATGAAGTAAGGGGCTGTGGGTACTATGAGATAAGGAAGGCACAACTTGATCATAGCTGTCCCATAGAGTTTAGGAATGGATACAAGAGCAAAGCTACATCTCGTGTGATAGCTGCTGTTTATAAGGCAAAGTTTGGAGACACAAGTAAGCCGCCTGTTGCTAGGGATTTGCAAAGACTTGTTCTAGAGGATCTGCGGGTGGACGCCTCGTACATGAAATGCTATAGGGCGAAGGAGAAAGCTGTTTTGGGGTTGCGTGGTTCTGATGAGGACTCTTACTTAAAGCTGCCGAAGTATTTGCATATGTTGAAGGTTGCAAATCCTGAGACAATAGCTGATTTGGAAACTGATGTGGATGAAGACGGGGACAAACGTTTTCTATATTTGTTTCTAGCTTTTGGTGCTTTAATAAGTGGGTTTAGGAAGCTGAGACATGTTTTGGTGGTTGATGGAACGCACCTCAGTGGCAAGTACAAAGGCGTGTTGTTGACTGCTAGTGGACATGATGCTAATTTCCAAATTTTCACACTTGCATTTGCAGTTGTGGACAGTGAAGATGAGGATGCTTGGACCTGGTTTCTTCAGAAAGTAGAGAGGATTCTTGGGGACTCTCCTTCTCTGGCGATTATTTCAGACAGGGCTGTGTGCATATCTAATGCAGTTAGCAAGATTTATCCTCAGGCCAAGCATGGGGCTTGCATTGTTCATCTTGCTAGGAATGTTAANATAGTCCCGGGGTGTTTAAAGATCTTTACGGAAAGATTAGGGCTGCTAACAGTGCATGTGGTATCTATTTGGGTAAAATAGGTGTTGCTCGGTGGTCTAGAGCAAATTTCCCAGGTGATAGGTATAACATTATGACTAGCAATATTGCTGAACAACTTAACAAGGCGTTACTGGAAGGTAGGGGAGCTGCTATAGTGGACTTGGTAACTTTCATACAAAGGATGTGACTAGATGGTTCTGTGCCAGAAGGAAGAAAGCAGAGAAACACAGAGGTTTGGTGAGCTTGGAAGTTGACAAACAGATGACGAAGAACATGGCAACTGTGAAAGGAAGCAAGATTAATGCAGTTGATGGCTGGACCAGTCAGATTTTGGGGAAGTTCGGTAAATCAGACAAAGTGATGCTAGGAGAGAGAAAGTGTAGCTGCAAATATTTTGATAATATCAAAATTCCTTGTGGTCATGCTATGATTGCAGCTGACGGGGTCGGTGTGCCTCACGACACATTGTGTGGGCATTGGTACAAAATGGCAGTGTGGAGGGAGACATATGCAGGCGTTATCAGCCCCCACGATGATGCAAGGGATGTTGATATACCTGAAAAAGTCAGCAGTATGGTTTTGTACCCTCCCAATACGAAGAGACAATCAGGGAGACGCCGCAAAACACGCATACCATTGACAGGGGATATAAGGGTGAGTTGTAATAATCATATTAAGTGTCCTAATTTGGGGTAAACTGACTTGTGATTGTTGTTGTTGAAGGCACCGAAGAAAAAGCTTACTAAGAACAGATGTGGTAGGTGCAGGGGTGAAGGACACAATAGGACGAACTGCGCAGTGCCCATCTAAGGTGGTGGAAGGAGTTGTTCTTTTGGATTTGAATTGAAGAGAAGAACATTTTTGTGGGTTCAAGACAATTTAATGGGAACCCAGTTTTTGTTTTAATGTTCACGGAATGTTGTTGTTTTTATTGTTTTTGGGAACTCTTTAAGTGCAACTAAATCATGGCCTTCTTTTGGTTGTTCTTGGTTAGACAAATGGCAGAGTCTTTGTGGTTTCATATGGATATTTTGTTGGTTAGGAAAAACGCATGACTTCAGATTAGTTTATTTTGTTGTATTCAATATGTGGATGTGGACACAGCATGTAGTCTGCAGTTGTTGGTTTTGAAAATAATCAATATTTTGATGTGGACAATTTTGATACAGAGCAATATTTGATACAAATTGTTGTTAAGTAGTAGAGTAGCTTAGTTTTTGATAACAAATACACATGATGATATGATATTGATCATAAAAAGAGGGAAGACATATCATCAGAACTTTACATAAGTTCTGTAACCCATATCATAAGGAAGTCATAAGGTCTGCATCATAGCATAAGTGACGACATATTACAAGGAAGACAAATATTAAAGGAAAACGTAGGTAAAATATGGTGATGACTGCAGAGATCCTCCACAGAATAATCAAGTGCTTGTTTTTGCATACAACCATGCCATGGTTCCTAGAGCAATAGCAGCAGCAGCAATGTTGATGAGTGGGGACTGTGCTTTGGTAATAGAAGACCCATTATTGAGTGACTCCAAAGTTGCATCAACTACTGCAGTGTCGTTGTCTTGAGTGGAGTATCTCCTGAATTCAGCAAGCTGGAGTGTTTGGTTTTGGATAATTCTTTTCATCTTCAGCAAGGAGTCCTCAACGTATTTACCCTGCTCCTGAAGATGAAGTGTGGTAGTGTTCTTGAAAGATTGGACATCTTCGTGAAGCTGACTTTGTTTTGAATCAACTAGTCTAATTTCGTCGATAATAGCCTCGTATATCCATTTGAACAAATGGTGTTCAGATTGTCTCTGACCATTAATTTAGCCCAACAAATATATAAGTGTTATGAGTTGTTTGAAAGTGTTAAAATTGGAAAACAAAGTCTATGTAATTACCTTGACGCCAATTTCACATCTGTAGAAACGGCGGAAGAGGTTTTCCTTTGTCTTCACACCAAAGGTAGTCAGATTTGACCCACACCAACATCGATTAGGAATGCCAACTGTTGCTCTGCGTCTTTGAGAATTTGACGACGAACTACCGGAGCTCATGGTGAGGTTTGGTTTCGTGTTGGTTTGAGAATGAGATGAAGAAAGGGGGTGAGGTCCGAAATCAAATCGATTTAGGGTTTTTTAGGTTGAATTGTAAAAGAAAAACGAAGAAATGTGGTGAGGTCCGCCGTATTTCTCTGAGGTTTGAGAAAAGAATTTATTATATTAAAGAATATTTTTTTACTGTGGTGCGGAAACGGTTCGAGAATTCGAAATTTGAAAAGCAAAAATCTCAATTGTGGACGTGGATGAAGATAAGCAAGTTAATTTCAGATTACCAAAATCGCAGCGTCTCTTGGTTTTGGATAACCACACACTAATCACTTCAGGAATCAGGGTCCTCATTTGTGGGGGTGATCATCTGACTAACCGGAGGAAGGTGATTAGTATTGTAGCGGCTCTTGCTTGAGCATAACCACAAACTACTAACTTCAAACGTGGACGTGGACGTGGACGGACCCATTTTTTTGGGTTTAGGATAACCACAAACTAATTACTTCAATAACAACAAAGTAATAACCACAATAGATTAGGATATAGCCACTAACGTGGGACAGAGTAGAAGAGTTTAAAATCAGTGATAGACATAGAAGAAGGCCATTTGTTACACAAAAGGTGGCCATTTTTTGAAGAAAACATANGAACTCTAGAAACTTAATGCTGACCGGTCCGCAGTCACCAGAGCGAGTGTTGTTGTAGAGGTCAGGTATGCGTCGCCAGACAAACTTTTTGAGTCCAGAAAACTGAGTAAGCTCACACATTGCAACTTTCCTTACGAGATACGGGAGTATGGTTACCAATGGTTGCATGAACCGCTCAACACGAGTGTCTGCATACAAATCTGGAATAGGATCGAGGATTTCAACTAACCCCAAATCAAGGTTGATGGCTAGCCCTACCCAGTGGTTGTTGTTCCAAAGCATCGGAGTGTAGATGGTGTGAATATCGTGCATCCATTTCTTCCCTTCCTGGAGAACAATGTCAGCAAGACGCTCATCCCAGACAAATGTTGATCTCTTTCTGCAGGGGCCAAAAACAGACCAACTGTCATAGATGTAAGAAGCTAGGAGGGGTGTGGTGAATGCTGATTTTTTCCCTGAGAAGATGTGTTGAATGTCTCCCAGCGAGCATGTATATTAGAATTTTCATGTGCTGAAACAATACAGAAGCATGATTATTAGAAAAGTAAGCTGTTGAAGGTATGATACATTAGGAAGAGAAGAATTAAAAGGACATAATTCTTACGTGGCTGGTTGTCCATTGCTGTGGTTTAGCGAGATCGATAAGAAATTTGTTGGAGAATTCAAACTCAGATAGGGTGGTGTGGTAGCTGTGATATAAAAGAGAATTCAAAGTCAGATGGGGGTGTGTGGTAACTGTGACATAAGTGGGAAAAGGGTGTGGTGCACTTGATTTAACTTACACGTTGCTCCTAGTTTTGATTGTGTTGTAGAAAAGATCCCACTCGAGAGATGGAAGTGGTGAGATGAGTGCAATCGCAGGGATTAATGGCGATCTGGATAATTCATTAGAAATATGGATCTCCTCCAAAGATAGAACGTGCCTCTCCATGTCTTTTGTGGCCGTTAGGTCAACAACTCCATCAGTATTTGGTTCAACTCCTTCAGTTTTTTGTTCCTAAAAGTATGAACATAATATATAAAAGGGTCAAAGAGGGAGTAGGGAAGCACTATGATGTTGAGGGAGAGTGTATTGTGGTTTTGTACCTTATGAGGTGGAGTGTTGGAGGCTGTAGCTGTGAACGCATTAACGGTAGCAGCATGACCAGCGAAGCCCGACAAACTGTCTATGCTCTTAGTGGGTGATGTAAGCAGTGTTGTAGGCTGCGGTGACAATATTAAGCAATTGCGTGGAGGAGAGGATGGAGGAATAGATGAATCAAAGATTGGTTGAGGAGAGGATGGAGGAATAGATGAATCAAAGATTGGTGGGTCTGGATTGACCGCATCATAAATCCTCACACCATGATAGAGGATGTGATTAATCTTGGGGCTGTTGGGGTGATCACTTTGATCGTAGATGGCGGATTTGAGTTCAGACCAAGGAGGTTGCACGCTGACTGGTGTAAGAGGTGTCTCGTCATAGGAATATGTGTCCTCATTGGTGGGGGGATCGTCTGACTAACCGGAGGTGGGTGATGTATGGTTTGTGGATCAACAGGGGAGTGGTGACCACTCTCTTCCTTGTGGTCCGGAGATCTGTGCACAGTTAGATTGTGGATGCCTTCCTTGTGGTCGGGAGAAATGTGGACACTTATATTATTGTGGTTAGGTGAAACGTGGACACTCTGTGACTGGATGCAGGGATCGCTCAGAAGGGGATCAGCTGTAGCATCACGATGTAATTGAGCTTCGTATTGACTGATGACAGGGGAGCACGTTAGAGGAAACTCATCTGTCTCCATTCCGCCATCCTGAATAAAAAAAGATATAGCAAGCTTTTTAGTTAAAATCAAGAGTACATGCAACTTAAAATCAGAAGAAAACCATTTTCTACAATTAAAATTTAGATCAAAAACACTATATGATTTTTTGGAAAGTATTGAAAAAGTCAATTCACCTGATTATGAAGGCCATCGGTGTTGGGTGGTGTTGATTCAGGCTTGTGGGGAGTTGTGCTGGACTTCTTGCGACGGGGAAGCATGGAGTAATGAAAAGATGATTGCCTATGATGAGAACGTTTCTTCCTACGTTTCATCTCCCGGCGGAGCTGCTTAATTTCCGTTGAAAGCTGGATCACAATCTCCGTAAGTTGAACATTTGTGAAGCTGAGGACGCTTGAACGCGTAAAGTAGGAACTTATACGCCTTTGATTCGATGAAGATGGTTGTTTTGGTTTCAAAGATTTCTTAATAGGAGGAGACTTCTTCTTAACCCGGACCCTTTTCTTTGGCTCCTGGATGAGAGGCTCAGATGTAACCCCACCATGCCACATTTGTTTGTTGAAGGAATGTTCATCAGCTATCAGTTGATCCAAGTAGACAACACTGTCATCCTTGTCATCGTCATGCCACACTCCCCATCCTGGTTGTGCCTGACTTTCGATGGGTATAATAGGCGTGACTACCAACTGAGAAAAGTTAAAAACAACTTAGTTTTATAAAATAACTATTCTTAGTAACTAGTGCTGAGAACCGCAATTGATATACGGTACTTACATCGGGGTCGAACTCCACGCGGAGGATGTCGATGGAATTGATTGAGGGGTTTTGTGGTAGATGACAATCTTCTAAGTCCATCACTGTAAGATTGTTTAATGGGGCTAGTATATAATCCAAAAGCTGTGGGATCGCACGAAATGCAACCATTTGAAGTGAGAGCGGGAAGCCTTGTAATCTGAAACTGCGCTGCTTGAGCTTCTTAACAAGTGTACCAACAGGATCTTCACATTTTTTGGGGACAAACTTTGGTGGTTTCATGCATGAAATGGTCTTGAGGAAAGACTCTCTACCCCAAGGAAAATAAAAGAATGTTCCGAGGTTTTCAACCATCCTAACATAACGAGGAGTAGGACGTGGTTCTTGTTTGTGAGCAATAAGAACACCGTCGACTATGATAATCAGAGCGATCCGTATCTTCTTCCACCCATCCATGTTTCTGTCGCTATCGAGCATCGTACATAGTTCAGCAACCGTGACAACTTTTTTCTTCCCAAAAAGTCTCTTCCATACTCTGTCTTTCCCGGCAACAATTGCTTTACCGGTGTTGGGCTTGTATCCTCCCGGGAAGGAACCGCAAGGGAGACCGGTAACGGTGCCAAATTCCTCAAGACCATATCGTAAAGGAGAACCACCAAATACAGACCAAAGAGTATTCTTGGGAAGACACAATAGCTGACTAGTGAGAAACGAGTGAATCGGCTTACAAGACACTGGGCATTGACGAGCAGGGAGGTCGAAGAGCTTCCCGAAACAGGACTGACGGATGGTTTGAAACTCAGGCGTGTCTCGGAGGACGTTGCGGATAAATGGGAGAAGATCCGGGGAGGAGTAAATGTTGAGACGCTTGGTGGGGAACCTGTCTGTAGCGAAAAGTCTAGGAGGTAGACGGATGTCGGCTAAAGAAGTACCTACATTTGAAATCGCCGAAAAGTATTGATTCTAGAAAGTAAACTAAGAACGGTTTTGAAATGAAAAGTGAGTGTAGAGTAGAGTACGAAATACCTCCGATTTCGTTTCGTGGTGGCATTTGCTCCTCGGGTTTCTTCACTTTCTTCTTGATCTTCGGTTTCCTCATGTTTCGCGGCGGTGGTTAAGAGACGAAGAGGATGTAAGCAGAGAGGCGGAGAGTTTGGGGCGGAGATGATGAGAGAAATTAGGGTTGGGGATTGGGGGAAAATAGATCTAGTTTCGAAATGTAAATCTGTGTTTTTTTTTAATTGACAGAAACACGTGTGGTAAGAGGGAACTGTGGTTAGGTTAAGAATAAGGGCATCTATGACATTGTGACCAGATAAAGTGTGTGAGATGGGGAAAGTGTCCCAAACCGTAAAAGAAAAGACATAATGTGTTCTAGAAAGTAAATTTTTCTCATTCTAATGACTTTTGAACCATCAGAGCTGGCATCTCCGATATCTACTTTCTATTCAAAATTTTCTATAACTTAGTACGTGGCCGTGCAAGGGGCAAAGCCTTGTGTATCACTATGGGTGCAAGTTAGGGGTGGGACGGATCGGATCTCTGGACTATTCTGAGATATCCGGATCCGGATTCGGTGGATCCATAAAATTGCTATCCGGATTCGGGCCCTCCGGATATCCGGGGTCTAGATATTCGTACTAAAACTCGAATATCCGCGGATATCTGCATGCATTTTTTTTAAATCAAAATTAAATTAAAATTTAAAAATTAAGTATTTATTTATTCTAATAAAAATCATTATTTTGCAAAAGGTTGAAATAAAATCATATAATTTAATAATAAAATTGAGTTTTGTTATTTTAAATAAAAAAATATATAATATACCTATATAAGTATAATTATATTTTAAATATTTTACATATTTTAAAAATATTTAGTGGGTCCAAATCCGGATCCGGATATTCGGACTAAAAATTTCACTATCCGGATTTGGATCCGGATTCGCCGGATCCGTAAAATCACTATCCGGATCCAGACCCCCCCCCCAGATATCCTTTTTTACGGAGTGGATCAGAGCGAATTCCGGATCGGATAGCGGATAACAGATATCAAGTCTCATGCCTAGTGCAAGTGCACCAAGGATTTTTTTTCAAAAAAATTTGTTTTATATAGAAATTTATTTAAATTGTGCCAAAATTTAAGCCAAAACCTATTTGTGCACCCACTGTTTTTTGTAAGATGTCCCCTTAATTTCATAAATTATATAAAATATCTTTAGTATGTGATATTTATGGAATTGTACACCCATTAATATTAGGTTCTGTCTTCCCCCTGCGGGCCACACTCATTTAAAGGGTGGGTTCGTTTTTGGTGACGGTAGTTATAGCTGCAACTCCTTTATCACTAGAACTCTCATGGTATGATTAGAGCATTATTGCATTAATGACTTTGATCTAAAAGGTACTTATGTGCGAAGTTTTTGTTTAAGTTTTTTTTGTCGAAACCTCTTTGTTTTTTTTTGGTAAAATTTTCTCGAAAACTTAACCAAGTTTCGCGAACAATCGTATATGCTAGATCAGCCCTCAAACTTAAGACCGATGGTACCCCTTCGACCGACAGTTCATCTCAAATCATATATATCCCTTATATATTAATTGAGAAGCATAATAACATGTTTTTGTAGCCATGTGTCATCATGAAAATGCTTTTCAAATTTACTAGAAAAAAATGTTAGTCCATATAAACATATAATATCATTTTCATTAAACTAAGCATAAAACTATTATTAATGCTAATCATTATTTCCTTAAATAAAATTTACGGAATTACCTAATATGATTATAATATATATATATATATATATGAAAATTAATGATTTGAATATGAAAGATTTGATAAAAAAATTATATAGCCTCAACTCTTTTTGTTAAATTTATATTATGAAAATAAATTAAACAGTAAAATTAACTCTATAACCAAAACTTAGATTTTTATATATGTTTTTTTTTGTCAATTTGGTCACTTTTGGACCTATATCCTCAAATGGAGGTAAGGAGGGGTCGAACGCCTGACGTCAGGGTCCGAAGGCAGAGCTCAGTTGCCACTTTGCTACGAACAACCCGACAGATTTTTATATATGTTATATTTTGATATTTAATTACGACTATAAATTAATAAAAAATTTAAAAATTTCACATATAATATTTTGATTGATAGTGTAATTTTTTTTGTTATAGCACGATACAAAAAATTGTATAGTTAATGAGTAAGAAAAACCATTAATAGATATTTAAATTAGATATATATATATATATATATATATTGTTAATGATGTTTAATTTAAACTAAATACCATTTGAAAATACATAAATATTTAATTCCAAAATTGCATTGAACAGTTATTGAGAACTTAATATTTTAATGAAAAACTTTGAATTTTTTTTTTTTTAAATGATGCTAAATTACTGTAAATATTAAATCTCTCACATTAAAAATGATGTTATCAATATTTTAAAATTTTTATTCTAAAAATATAAAAATGATCATAAAACCATGTAAGTGTGAAACTTCATTTATTAGATATCTAAATTAAAAATACAATATATATGTTAATATCATTTATTAATTAAATTTATTAATTAAATTTACTAATTATATAAAGTGATTTTAAATAAACAAATATAATTATTTTATTTAAGCACTTGCTAAATTAATTGTATATATAATAGTTACAGGTTTTTTAATTATTCAATATATATTTATTATTTTATAATATATAGAAGAACACAAAATAGAGAATAAGATATAAAATAATATATATATATATATAATTCTCATCCAGCGCAACTGCGCGAATATTAACCTAGTATTCTATATATATGGACTGTAAAAGTGTACTATCTTCTATTAATATATGGACCGATGGACCATCTAGTTTAGTTATTGGATGGACCATCTAGTTTAGTTATTGATTAGGAAGAAGATTCAATATTTTTTTTTTTTTTTTTTTTTTTTTTTTTTTTTTTTTTTTTTTT